AGGTGAATAAATAAATAAAGCTGGACTTAATTGCATTTGGTTTTTGAGAAAGAGAGACGTTGTTTCTGGATTAGATTGGAAGACGCACGCCCTGGAAGTCAGGTGACCAGAAACAGTCACACAGGTTACTGAGCCCCCGACCACTCGCCTTCGGCGGGCTAAGCAGCCAGACAGGCTGTCACGACCTTGCCCCTGCCGATGTCCTCTGATGTCACATACTGAGGGTCAGCTCCGCGTCCATTAGCCACTAAACCCAGCAGTCGCCGCCCGTGTGGCTTCGTGGTCGGGAGCACAGACTCGGGAGCCGCAGCTCAGCTGTCCCCTCTCGGCGGCCACGAACCTCGGCTCCAGTGCGTCTTGCATTGCTCATCTGTGAGATGAGGATCAAGTGTCCACGTGGAAAGCACGCGCTCCGTATCCGCTGCTCCTGTTGTTACCTGGGCAACGCCAAGCCGCTCGGGCATGAGAACCAGGACTGGAATGGACGTCCACGCCTTCTGTCCAGACTCCTGTTAGAGAACGAACGTTCGCGTCCCCCAGAATTAGTGTTGAAACCCTGCTCCCCAGGGCGATGGCATTGGGCTGGGGGCCTTCAGGAGGTGATTAGGGTGGGGCCCGCGTGATGGGACTGATGCCCTTAACGTCACCAGAGAGCTCACTTCCTACCTTTCCGTCTGCCAGGTGAGGTCACGACAAGCAGTCAGCCACCTGCAGCCCGGAGCAGGGCTCCCGCCAGAACCCGCTGGACTTTCGGCCTCCGGAATTGTGGGAAATGATGTGTGTTGTTTAAGCCGCCCAGTCGATCACCATCTGTTTCAGCCATCTGAGCTGACCGAGACACCTGTCTTCGCTGTTCTACACAGATACGTGCCCTTCCCTCAGTTCATTGAAAACACTCCCGCAGCACTGACCCGTACTGGGCCTGTGCACACGCGTGTGAGCCTGCGGGGGAGGCCGCCGCAGCCCTGTGCCTCCCCGCCTGCTTCCACTCACTCCACAGGCCCAGCTCAAGGCCAACAGCTCTGCCACGTCCGGCCAGCTCCCCGTGCTGGCTCCCAGGGCACCTGGCACGGCCCACTGTCACTCAGCGTATGCACTGCACACACTGCACGTGGACGTGTGTAACTCAGCGGTCAGTGCTGTGGTCTCACTCGTGTTACCTGCACCCACTAGACCACGGTTCTTTCAGGGTCTGCGTTTCATTCACGTGAATTCCCTCCCTTGGCCGAAGCCAGACTCGTTAGCTCCGTGCCTCATAAAGAGTGGGCACTCAGAAATACGTACAGAAACATGACAAACGAATGAAAGAATGAGCAAACCAGAGAAGAAACAAGTCAAGGTCTCCAGGCAAAAGACACGTGTTAAAAAGCATCTTCACGTCAGTCACTGGCCCGAGAGCGCCCTGCGTGTGGCCACCGTCTCTCAGCTCCCGGCGGCCCACGCTCACCCGGTTTCTTCGCCCCCGGAGACGCTCGACTTGGTTTGCCGTCGTTCGTAACGAGGCGACCTCCCTTTCTCTCCCTCTGCATTTCCTTCGCTCTTCCCCCCGGCATTTTATTATGGGAATTGTCACACATGCAAGGAAGTTGGAAGAACTGGAGTGAACGTGCACATGTCCGCCGTCCAGGTTCTCTGGCGAACACATTGCGACACTGGCTCTCGCCGTCTCTGCGTCTCTCCATCCATCCATCCATCATCTACCCGACTTTCCACGCATTTCAAAGTGAGTTGTAGACGATCTGCACCCCCAGCACTGCAGCTTGCTTATTGTCCACTGGAGCTCGATATTTTTCCCTAGCTTCTTTCTTGGGAGGGGAAGTACAGTTAGGAGTCAGCGAAAGCCACGGATCTCAGTGCGCCTGGCTGTGAGCTGGGCCGCTGGGCTACCCCTGCGTAGCCCAAGCCGCATGGGGACACAGGACGCGACCCCCCAGAGCATTCCGATGTCCCTTCCGGTGGGTCCGGCCTGCACTCCCGCAGACAACCGCTCCTCCTGGCCTGTCCTCCACAGATCAGCGCGGCCCAGAAGCTCGCCTAACAGAGCGCGCCGCGCGCCATCCGGGGCGCCTCCCGTGCCGCTGCCGCGTCGGCGGGGGCTTCGCGCGATGCCCTGCCGGAGCCGATGGCGCTGGGTGAGTTTTCCACGCTCGGTTTCCCCGTTCTTCTGCCGAGGGCCACCCAGGCGCTCTACAGTTTGGGTCAATGACGGGTGAAACGGCCATGGGCATTCTTGGTTTCCCGCCCCGGACCTTCAGGTTCCGCGTCTTGGACAGCAGGGGGCGGGGTCGAGCTCGTGGACCGAAACCCCAATTTTCCCAGAGGGAGGGGGCGACGCTGTCCGGCCTTCCTCACCGCCATGTGCAGCTGGCCGTAGGAGGAAGCCACTGTGCCGCATGCTAATGAACGTGACAGAAGGGCCATGAGCCAGTTATCCAACAGGTCATCAGTTGGCCAGGAGGCCACGCGGGAGGGCGGGGCACGGGGCAGCAGGGGCGGGGAGCTGATGAAGGGCCCCGCAGCACCTCAGGCCACCCTGCACTGCCAAGAGACTGCAGCTGGCTTTTCCCCTGGGGCTTCTCCGGGCATGTCACCTGTGCATTGTCACGCCAGGGCCCTGTGACACGGGCTCTTCCTGATGTGCCCTGAGACGGAAGGCCTCAGACCATCGTTGTGTGGCCAGCAGCACGGCCACTTCGGGCTCTTGTGGCCTCTGCATTTCTCATGCCGGGTCTCGCTTGGGCATCATGTTCCGAGCGACATGTCGCATGCTGGGAGCCCCGATGGCTTCACTAAGGAAAGCGAGGGTGAGACACAGACAGGCTGATCTCGAGGCAAAGTCACCGTGTGGGTTAGAACGCCGAGTCCTCATCCCGTCCCCTAGAATCGCTAGGTCTGGGGCGGGACCTGGGTTTATCACCCGACTGAGCTTCCAGGCGATGCTGCTGGGCCGCAGGTGTGGTAGCCGCAGATCTGGGTGTTGGGGCGGTGGGCGGCATGTGAGTTCTGAGCGACCTTATAACCTTACAAGGTCCCCCAGGATTGGGTGAGGAGGGCCTGTGGGTGCCAGGAGCGTCTCCATGGAGGCCGACCAGGGCAGGTCTGGCTGGCGCTTTGCCAGCCGTGCGGGTCTGCCAGGAGAATGCGTGCAGGGACCCCGCACAGCGAGGGGCGAAGGCTAAAGGTCACCGCAGCCAGGGCACTGGCCGCCCGCCTTCTCAGGCCCCTCCCGCCTTCCTACGGGGACACAGGTCTCTCCGGGCACGCCGCCCACGGCCTGAGCAGGGTCCCCTCGGTAGCCTCCTTTCCGCCTTCCTTCATCTGTGTCCCAGAGGACACACCCAGTGACCGCCTCAGTGGTGCGGTGGCCCCTGCGTGCCACAGCGGAGAAAGGGCGGACAGGGGATGGGTGGGGGGAACCAAACTTGGCATTTTTACATTACTTCCGTTTTCAGGAGCAACATCCAGAAGCATCACCAGCACAGAGCGCTGAGCAAGCTCGGTCACCAACGCCCGTGCGGGACGCCAGACCTGTACGGCGTTTTTATGAGTTTGTCGGAGCTGAAACTTGAGCGAAATCTCACGCGCTCCCGGAGCAGTTTCTCTGCCACCCTTGAGTGAGGACGACCGGGAGGTGGGGAGCCAGGCGGTGGAGCGCGGGGCCGCGGACAGACTGCGCTCGGAGGGTTACTGCTCATCGCAGCGGTCTGACTTCTGGCATCTTGAAGGTGTGGCGTGACTCTCCGCCAGACCTGCCCAGTTAAGAATTTAGGAGCAGATCGCCCCGAGGGGTGACTGTCCCTAGAACCCCTTTTCACCCAGATGATTGATCAGATACTCTTAAGCACAGACTGTGCCAGGAGCAGAGCCACCTGGCCCCCAGGCGGCCCCTGGGTACAGCAGCGGAGGGGCCGCCCATGCAGGATCCTGTCCTCCTCCAGAGCTTAGCAGTCAGACGAGTCCCTCCTGCCACACTGATCCCAGCCCCAGGAAGGGAATAAGGCCGGAAATTACAGGAGGGGGACCCTTCCTAGGGGAGGAAGCCTGAGGTGGGGCATACATCTCCTGTCCCCACCATTCCTGGAGCAGGGCTGGCAGCATTTGGTGGGTGCCGGGCTGGGGGCCGGGCAGGTTCAGAAGCCAGGGAGCAGGAGGCGGGTCCTTCGTGACCTGGGCGGAGCTGAGGCCCGCTTCCTGGGCACACAGCAAACCACCGGAGGCTGCCACATGGGGGCTGCAGTTTGCCAGGGAGGCCGAGGGCCGACACTCTCCCTGTGCTGCTGAGGTAAAAGGTCATGGTCCTGAGGGAAAAGGTTACGGTCCAGGCGGGGAAGAGGGGGCAGGACCGTCGTCCTGGGAACGTGCCGTGTGTAGCACGGGGACACCACACGAGGACCAGTTGTGGGAGTGCCGGGGACACAGGCGAGCCAGGCCCCGGTCGTTGCGTGAGCAGAAGCGCTCGGGACCCGACAGCCCCAGGTCCCGAGTGACAGGGTTTCTTTCCAGGGCCAGGGCCAGGGCCAGGGGTGCTCAGATCTGAAACAGACCAGCAGCTGCACGGATAGAATCTCGTGTTTCCTAAACACTTTATCAGGGACCCAAGGCCGACACCACACAAAGCAGCCTCCAGCCTCGCGCACCCTGTTGTGGGGGGCGGGGGGGGGCACGCAGGGGGCTGGGGCGTCCCAGCCAGCACTTGTCTTCGGAAAAAGTCTGCAGATCTAACAACCCAGGACGGCGGAGCCACAGGCCGGTCACGTGACTCGGGCGCCTGTCCTGCCGCGTCCTCAGGGCCCTTGTCATCATAATCACTGTCCTTCGCTGAGCTCCCCGTGAGCCGCAGGCATTGTCGCTGAGCTCCCCGCGAGCCGCAGGCATTGCCTTCCCTCCTGCTCGCCGGAACTCTGTGAAGCTGGTGTCGTCATCGTCATCGTCATCATCGTCGTCTCCACTGTGCAGACAGGACGCAGCGGTGGCCCGAGGCGGCTCTCTCCCCGTCTGCGGCCGCCCTCCCTCTGCCCTGCTCAGGCAGGCATCCTGCTCTCTGCTTCGCCATCTCAGGGGCCGTGGCTGGAAGGAGGGGCGGCCGAACGGGCCTGGCTGTCCCCACTGAGCCGCCCAAAGGCCTGAGACCGGGAAAGGCAGTGCTGGCCTCAGCAGGGGCACGCGGGCCCCTGGGGACAAACGGGCTTCTCCCAGAGGCAGGCCAGCCCACCAGACTCAAGGGAGAAAGGCCGCGAGCTGCCCTGGGCAGGTGGGCGAGGTGACTCACTCCCTGCGAGGCACACAGCAGAGTCCAGGGGACCGGGGCCCAGCTGCGTGGAGACAGAGGAGGCCGGCAGCTCCCTCCTAGGGAAGCCAAGCGTCACACCGGGATGCAGTCTCAGGGAGGATGGAGGTCACCTCTCCTCCCGCGAGCTGCTGCGCAGGGGGCTGGGGAAGAGGTGGGTTGCCAGGAACAACAGCGACTTTCCGTGAGGGCAGGGACAGAGCCCCT